CCTTTATAGAAGGGAGTGAGCGACTAAGCATACGATTTTCATAAATATTCTATGGTTTTCTGTTTTCAAGATTCTGGTCGCAGAGATGTGCCCAATGCAGTTCTGATAAGGCCGATACAGAATTTCGGAGAAATGCAAAACTCTTGAAGTTGCAATAAATACTTTTGAGGAAGTCTTAATAAGTCCTCTGGCGAGGCGAAGCTATAAATAGATGAAATATGACCTCGTTTTTGCACCTTGGTCGTGTTTTCATGGCGAATTAGTTGGACACATCTTGTCCGAAGTGTTCTGTTATAGTAGGTATCATAATTCCCAGCGTCTGACCGTGGACTTGGTCCGATAAGGTGTGCCCAAATAAGTCGCCCTGACGACATGACCAAGTTGCGAAAACGAAGTCAGATCACATACGTACATCGAAAGGAGATTGTGATCAAAGTAGAGGCCACTAAATCTTGGTCTTCATATCTACGTTTAAAGTTAAGATTTCGTGGAGAAAGAGAGCAAGGATAGACAATACATATTCCTGGGAAATCCCCTCTGATTTGTAACAAAATATTTCACTCAAAAACTGAGCTACATTTGCTTAAGTTACCTTACCTCGTCAATGGGCTAGCTTTGTGCAAACGTTTTGGCTGAAGGTATGATCTAAAGCCAATTTTATAAAAGCAAAAAAATTAATAATCTACCAAAATAATAGCATACTATGCCTACTTTATCCTGCTGCCCTTTGCAGATAATTAGCAAAACCTTATAGGCTTCAATAAAGGAGCATATTAAAGTGAGTCATATTTTTTGGGCACCCTGAACTTACTTTTGCTCATCTTCAGATGCATCAACATTCTTCTCCGGCATCGGTACCTCCATAAAACAGTTGATATCGGCAATAATCGGCATGAGCTGGCTGTAGGCTTCGAGTCCCTCTTGACGGACCAATTGATCGTGGTCAGCATATTTCGACAGGTAGTCTTCAGAGCGATCTGATCCTCCAATAATTGGATGTATCGACCTTTTAACTTGTGCGTTTCCTAGGCGAGCTTGAGGACGTGAAGTGTCTAAAAATCCAGACATTTCGGCCCCAGCTTCTTGAGTTTCCAATTTGGCACAGCCACTCGACAACCTCACGGGAGGGCAGGTTGAAATCAAGGATGGCAAAGAGGCCATCGGAGAAATAGGAGACAGAAGTACCCTTGAAAACTGCGTTTGGGAAGCCATCGTGTTGGATAGTTGGTTGTCAATAGGAACAGGCAAATTTGAAGAGTGTAATGACTCTTCGAGCCGGTACTTTTCGGAGGACTGCTGCTCGTGTATGGGTGGGCAAACATGTTTCTCCAATGCTAGCCCACTACAAGTTTCCTCTTTCCTCAAAAAATTTTCCCCTTTAACCTCTTCAGCATAGCCAAAAGACCTCGGACCCGGCTCAAACAGGTGCCCATTTAAAGATCCATACTTGGCAGAAGAAGGGGTTGGTAGGAGCTCGGTGTTGGGCTCTGTGGTTCCCGAGAAGTCTGACTCTAGCAGCACTGTGGAAATGGGCAAGATGCTGCATTCCCTGGTCGCTAGTTGACCTGTCTCGACTGGCGTCAGAGCATATTTGTGCCGCTTATCGAGGAAGACTTCAAGGGTCGGTGCATCCATGGCCGAATAACTCATCAACAGAGACCAAAAGAGGAGACTGTAAACACCGAGTCTTGCGCTAATGCCTTGAGCCGAGGGTTAGGTTTGCGGCATCAATGAATCCTACTTGTGATGTTGCGGCCGCCTTTTGTCTGATATTTCATTGCATTGCGCCGACCTTGACAACGCAAAATTATGCTCGTTTCAGACGGCCGAGCGGTGCAGTGGTTTAGCGTAAAGTCCACTTAAGCCCATTGGTATTGGATAATTTTCCCTCTCTCACTAACACACAGCGACAAGCATAGACTCCGAAATGGAGGTAGACAACCCGTGCTTTTCCTCCTTCGGGTGGATGGCCCCTTGATCGTTTCAACCAATCGCCTGTTTGTCCGAGGCCGATGTATCGCCTTGCCGCCTTCTGATTGGTTGGGAGGAGTGGGAAAAGTTCCCGACATGCCTGCTAGTTTTGGCCTTATTGTTGCCATGCCCTCGCAGTTATGCCATAGCGTATGCAATAGAGACAATGCAAATTTGGCTTTACTTACACCATTCCTGTGGTCGAGCCAGATCGGCGTCAATTTGTAGCAAGGAGGCCGAATCTGGGCACAATATAATGAAACGTAAAAAATCACCATAGCCCATATAGGTCATATAGGCCACAATTGGCTAGGCCTAATTATGGGCTACCGACGAGACTAAATGCGAACTGTAAGGAGAAACGTCCAAAGGAGGCATGATTCAGCGCCGTATGTGTGATTACCATAAATCTGTCGGTTGAGTCGAGAATGTAGTGGACATGTAGTGGATGACGACGTGTACGAGAGGGGGCTGTGGCGGTATGAAACGCATTTAATGAACTGGAAAGGCCGAATTATCATGTTTCGGGCTCATCCAGCTGAACAGTTCAGTTCCGGCCAGAAAGTTTGGCATAAAAGGAAATTCTCCCCGATGTGCCGATGATACAATCTCTCCAGTGAAACGAGCTCTTAGTTGCCTCGTAGCTGAATACTTTCCATGTGGTCGAGACCGGGTTCATACCTTATTTGTCTGTCTGTTGGCTGTTTTGTTGACATGCAAGCCTACTACTGTGACCATGTGAATGTGGCCCCTTGTCGTCATATCTGCATCGGCATACCGACACACGTGCATTTACATACAAGTGAATGTGACCAACGCACGTGGATGAAACTACATAGCTTAATGTGTGTATATCGGACTCCATGCCTCACTCAGTTGTGCAGACAACAAGTGAAGAGGCTCGGGATTGATTATCCCCTCATGCGCCTCACCCTCCTTCTCTCCTCCTGGCCTAGCCACATATTTCCTGTCTTGCCAAATGCAAGTGAATAAAACCCATTCGTGTGCTCACATCTTATGCTAGGCAAACATAGATTAAGCCTCGGGACGGATTACTTTCAACAAACTAACCAGCTGAGATGTAATCAGGGCCGCGTTAAAGCACTAAAGGTACAAGTGTGCAATTGATATGTTATGAAGAATCAGCTTGTCCTGCACAAACCAAGTTGGCGAATGGTGAATTTAAAAACCCTGGATTGTCTGATGATAGTTTGGCATTGGGTTGAGAAACCCGTTTTTATACACAACCTTTAGACATTTTGCTTTAGAATGCCTGCTTGCCACAGAATGCTCTATCAGCCTTATGATAAAACTCCCAGAATCGATTGTGCTAAAAATAGGTAATACTTGAGACATTGGCTGTCACAAAAGCCAGATTGCCTGTGCAGAATATACGCCAAAGATTGGTTCATGATAGTCGCTGCATGTCTGCCGCTTGGAGTCTGTGTTTATAGAACTCAATAGTGATAAAGACCTAAAACAATGATGAGCTTGACGACATATCATACCTAAAAAGGGAATAACCAGATAGTATGAACAGAGAGTACTCGTATTCTTCGAGCTCAGTCTCTGAGTTTTTTGTATGGCAACATACATCTTGTCACAAACATTTTCAAGAATTCAACAGTTCAAAACTTCAGTCTGTCTTTCTTTTATCCCCAATTGTCAAGTTTAGCTCTCCTTTTCTATGCATCATTATAGGCTTGTATTTGGGAATGAATAAGTTAGCCCCTGAGAGCGTTGTAGTATAAGCAAATGAGCCGAATTTACGTTAAAAACCCATAAATGCTTGGCAGCAAAAACTTTTACGCATGTTCAAAAATCTCATGTACAAGCCAGCCCCTGGATTAACTTTACTATCGCTTAGTATGAAAACATATGAAGCAATGTATCGAGTGAGAGGACTCTTAACCTATCAGTAAAGGTTTTAGTAGGTGTACAAGGACAATAAAAGTTATTCCGCAATCGTACGGTAGAAAGTTTGTCAGAGATAGACTACATTCGTCTCTTCGATGGGTCGTAGCTTGGTGAGACTCATAGATTCTGCCGACTACGATACCGGATTCTGGTAATGTATCATCTTCACGATCCAGCGCTTGGAATTATCATAACTACTAGAACAGAGGACCTCAGACAATATGCATTCAACTATGTCGTCCTGACAGCACGATAAAGTTGTGAAAATGCGACCAGTAGGGGTTTCGAAAAATCCCAATTATCTTTGGCCATCCAAGTTGGCCGAAGGAGTGAGCGCTGAATTTCACACAAATAAAAGGGCACAATATCTCATGATACATCTATCTTTCACATAGTCTTCCCGCCCATAAGGCTTATCAAAGTCTAAAATGAGACTCAAAACTGGAGCGGAAGTGATAACGCTCCAAGTATTGGAGTCGTGTCAATTGCGAGGACATATTCAAATTTGCTTTATCGGCACAGGTACCATTACAATTGGGAGACGGCTGACCTTCCTTGAGCTTCATACTTGCTCTTCGATTCGATAACACGCATAACTGTACCAGGAAATGCGGAATTAATGCCACTGGATGATCACAATCTGGCTTCGGCAGCCGTAGGATGGAGACGAGTAATGATACTATGGCGAGGTCAAAAATTGAGTTCTGTTAGGATGGGAACTCATTTTGAGTGTTGAGTTTACTTCCATTTCGAGTGAAAGTGTTGGGTGAAGAGATTCAAAGGTTAATTCCACCAGAAGACGATGGCGAATTCCTCTTTACCAGCTGTTGATTGGCTTTACTGGAACATTCATGGTGACGCTGTTTCCAAGGTAATCTTCTCCGATTCCTGTGAAAAGGTGCTAAGCTTCCATCCGTCATATGACGAACATCATCAGAGAAAGGTATCATCGTCACAACTAAATTCAAGATAACGAGTCCTTTTGCGAGGCAATGCTGAGTGAAATTTACTGATCAGTTATTGTAGGAAATTCAACTATCAGTCCTTCCATCTGCCTAAGCAATCGAAGATGTATCGTACTCTTTTGGAAACAAAAAAAGTCATCTTTATTCGGACTATAGCTTGGAGGACTTTGTCGCTACCTTTGTGTCTGCAGCAAAACTAATAACAACCGTGATAATTTTCAGTCATTGGTCTGAAGGTCTGCTTCATTCGAAATTTTCCAAAAACAATTAACGTTATAATGAAAAACGTTAAAAAAACAGAAAATAGTTTTATTAAAGGCCAGGATGGTAGCTTTATCCTGAAATTGCCAAACTTCCAAG